GATAAAAAACATGCACAACTTCCCTGAGAATCAGAAGCATTTGAGACGGTGAGACAAAAGCACAGAGAACTCAGCCACCAGATTACACAGATTACCCATTACCATTATTATTAAGAGCCACCCGCCCCAATTTCTTTTTATTTACCTTTTTCAAAAAACTCTGACCTCCGTTTGAAGTTTTTCAAAGATATGGGTTCTGATTCTAAATGACAGATGGAAAACAGTGAGGAGAAAAACATGTTTTACCAGGTGATAAGATCTTACTAATAAATAGATTATACAAGTGTTGCTCAATATGTCAAATAATAATAATAATAATAATAATAATTTCAGTTGATGGTGCATCATGTTGTTATATAACACAGTAAATGTCATCATTTCTATCTATAATAATCCAGTGTCTGCAAAACGTTTCTCCCAGAATTTAGTCAACAAGATTACATCAATATGTGTTTTTGTATTCAGGTCAGAAATAGAAATCCATTTCTGACCTTTCAGATTGTGTGCTCTGCTCTTTACCTTTGTTCCTCATGGTCACCGGCTGCTCACGGAAACCTCCATTAACTCTGTTTGAAGCCACATCCTGCAGGGAGACATGGCAGGGCGCACGCTCATTAAAGGGGCACGACACAGACATAAAACTCGATCAAACCTGAGTTCATTCTGGGTCACTCACGATGACGGGGTAGGCGGGGGCCTCTTTGGTTGCCAGCTTTTCCATGGAAGTGCGTGAGGTGAAATCCAGGCTGGAGCTGACAGTGTTTGAGTCAGAGGAACCTAGAAGTGTCGGATGATCCATACTGGTCAGATTGATGATCTTATGGCTTTTATATGGCAGGGAAGGTTGATCTGTGTCCCAGTCTGCATGCAGACAATGCAAGAGCGAAAAATAGCATGTGTTTGTTTGCACCTAAAACAAACTTTTCTGGGAGTGCAGAAGTCGTTTGTATATGTGAAACTTTGACACAGAATTGTCTATTTACATAAAAAGTCTATAAAGCAAGGGACAAGGTTGTTGTTATGGTGTTATTAAAGAGAGCAGCAGGGTGTGACAGAGAAACCTTCCCCAACCATGCAGCCTATTAAAGCTTCCATAAACCCACACAGTGTTTCTAACAGGCTCACAACCACTGGGCTTCACTAAAGTATTTTAACAAGTACAGTGTGTTAGTTCAAGTGAGCTACTCCGGTGGTTTATTATTATTTGGAAAGTGACACTGACGCAGTTGGATAAGTAAGCCTGTTATACTAACACTGTGAAAACAGAACACTCAGAGGACCTAAACTGGGTTAGTTCTCCAAAGAGAAAACACCACAAGGATACAAAGAGGAACGCTGATGAAACAGTAGAAGTAGGAGAAAAGGAAAAACATGACAAGAAAAACACACACAGGGAAATCATGGGAATAAGAACCGCTGCAGTCGACACCATAACAGCCTTCTCTCGTCAGACGAGAAAAAGAAAGTTACAGGTCCTTCTCCACTTAGCTGTCAAGAAATCATTCATGGATGATTTCACAATGGTTTACGGACCAATTTAAAATGTCAAAACTGTTTAGCAACGCTCAAAGCATAAGCAGTACTGTCATTCCAGGAATTCAACCCTTAAAGTGGTTCAATTGATTCTCACGCCAACAAACACCACACCCACTCATACACTCAGACAGACAGTGTTAATAGGACTCACTGTTCTTGCCATGATGGCGTATATCCATGACCAGACTGCCCTCCTGAAGAGCCTCCTCCATGCATGACTTCCACGCTGTGTAGCTCATTTCTGCCACCTGCTGGCCGTTCACCGCCAGCACCTCGTCTCCCACCTGAAGCGGGCACATCTCTGCAGGACTGCCTGCAAGAGACAGAGCAAAAACTGGTATCAGCAACAAAGAAAGTGCACAGTTTTATCATTTATAAGAGGTCAATGTTCGTGCATAAAACAGTGCTTTACAAAATATTACAGTTTTCAGTCTCACCAGAGTAATCCTTCACATATAGAATTGACAGTTAAAAAATGCGATTCTATATCCACAACAAAAATATTTGATCTGACATGAAGGTCTTTAGAGATTCACTTGTGTAAAAGAATTCGGATCACTTCAATACAACAAGAAATGTAATGCAAATAAAAATGTTTTTGTTATTTAAGATTATGTAAGATGGACACCTCTTCTGCCTTGACCAGCATTACTATATTTACTTTTTTATTGACAGCCGTCAATGTTTGGTTTCTTACTAATGCTATTTTCAAATCAAATCAAATCAGGTTTTATTTATAAAGCACATTTCTAAAACGATTTTTGGTCGAGACCAAAGTGCTGTACATGCAAATAATAAATAACACATTACATTACAAGACAATAAATTACCACAATAAATATAAAAATCCAACACAGAGAATTGTCCGTAGTCATACTCTGCTCGGACTAGAATGCCAGGGAGAAGAAGTGAGTCTTTAGTTTTGTTTTAAAAACCCCTAGAGTCTGGGCCGACCTCATATGGAGGGGCAGAGTGTTCCAGAGCCTGGGGCCAGCTGCTGCGAAGGCTCGGTGCCCTCGGGTTTTGAGCCTGGTCTGGGGCACTACCAGCAGTAGCTGGTCAGCAGACCTTAAGGCTCTGTTCTTCCTTGTGTGTAATAAGAGTGGACGCGAGACAAAAAAAAATCTCTTGATGAGCTCTACGCCTAGTCGGACTTGGTCTTCGGGATTGTCGTCGTTTCTGAAACCGAAGGTCCGTCACACCCTGAGCTGTCCGTCGAGCACAGTGGTGGTAGGTACGGTCCATTTTGTCTCTATAAACTTTCTTTTTGTCAGTTTTTGTGTAAAATAAAAATTCACATCTCGAAATAAGTGTCCGTCATAATGTTTCATGACCAGTCGGTTTGACCGTTGGTTGTAAGGGTCACTATGTTTTTCGTCTACTTCATCGCGTAATCAAAATAGACTGACCTATGTAGCCATGTGTGTCGTCCTATGCCTATATATATCTACAACCAGACAATATGAGCTATAGGGACGACCATCAAACAGTCGTGCAAACATCTAGACAAAAATCCCGCAGCGGTCTGGATACATCCCGTCGTAGATAGACCCAGGTCTAGACGTCCCGGACTTGACTCTAACTTGGTGGAAGTGTCATAGAGTACTTTAGTTGCCATCAATGCAAGGTGATTATGAACGTATACTTGTGTTGTCATCGCACCACTGTGGACAAACTTTGGATCTGGCATGCTTCGCAGTTAAACAAGTGCTGTCTACATACCAACTTTTTTGGGAGATAACACAATACAAAGTAAAGTAAAAATAGGTATTCCTGCTTCGTGAAAAATAGTGTTAAAGAGATTCACATGGTCACAAACACTGCATCTTCCAAATTCTCTTTTTGTACTATATCTTTGTGAATTTTCTGTTGTGTTATACATTATATACGTGCTTATTCTAGTCTTACCTAAATTTGAAGGAAAATAAACAAAAATTTCGGGATTTACTCGACGAGGCCGATATGTCGATTTGAGGAGGTCGCGG